CTGAAAAATTAAGTTCAGGAAAATAATGCCAATGAAAGTTAAAGAAAAAAACCTATCTGATATTCTGTTTTGCAAGACCACAAAAAACTTAGTTTAATAATATGGAGACTCATTTTATTAAAAAAAATCTTCAAGACAATCTCCAAGATAAAGAAGAAAAATTAGCTCCAACGTACAATTGAGGAAATGAGGTAGAGAGATTAAATGTTCTCAAGTCATATACTAAGCTGGTAAGCAACAGTAGGAGTAAAAGTTAGTGTTTGCTCCAGCAATCCAGATTTCCAAGTACACATGAATATGCTTCAACAGCGAGCGTATTGGGTCTCTAAGGAAAAAGATTCTCATTATTAAGACCAAACAGTAATCTAGTCTTTAAGAAAATCCACGTGTATTTAAGATACCATACCTGTTTAAATCTACAATGTATTTATGTACACTCTGAAAAGCTAGATAAAATCTCGTCAAAATTTCAATGTTGTTTTCACGAAATTCTTCATCTAAATCCAGTAACTCAGGTTTGGCTTCCAGTTTGCCTTCACACGTCTCAGGCCCCTAAGAAAAGAAATTCATCTGTAGGGACGATATTTGACTTTGACCTCTATCTGACATCTCTTCAGTAGGACACAGAACACGTACAACCACCACCGTGCACGCAACACCAGAATTAACATTTCTTACTACAAATTTTCCACGCTACTTTATGATTGAACATTCATTCCATAAAGATGAGTTTTACACTTTGTTACAATCTGCAATGATTTAAAATACAAATTATCCTTTGTACCCAATGGAAAAGAACAGTTAACGCTTTGGGTAAAGCCCCAGTGCATCTGAAGCCACTGCGTGCTTTTGTAGAGCTATCTCCCTGCTGGAATTTTGTTCTTTACACATTTGATCCGATTGATTTCTCAGCTAGAAACCATAACATTGAGGCCTCACAAACAGTTGTGAGTTTAGTACCTTCTCATACATTTAAACTGCTTGAAAGTATGAGACCTATGTGAGAATTTTTTTTACAGACTCTGGATCTAGCTCAGCGCTAGTCCCCCAAATTAATGCAGAAACTATGTCATTAATGACCGTGGGGGAAAAAGAGTTGGGATGAAGAGCCCGACTTCCTTAAAGCAACGGTACAAACTTTTTTGACCATTTACCACTGTCAACATTTCTCATAACCATCATTTGGTCTTACCACCACCATCTAAATGAAAATATCATTATTTTAACTGAAAATATTATTAACACTTAATTGAAAATACATCATTCCACAGACCACTTTCACAGCATGAGATCATTGCTTAAAAGGATTTAGTCAACACGAATGCCATAAAAATAACTTAAAATAGAGTTAAAATAAAATATCAAGCGTAATACCCAGCTGACAATTTTTGTGTGGTTTTAAAAATGCTCTTCCATTTCTCTTTTTGTGCAAAATACCTACAATAAAACAAAGGGTAAAAGCAGGCTCCAAACTGCCTATGAAGTTCAAATACACAAAGTAAACAGCCTAAGTTTTGAAAATCTCAAATCTCTTCTCATTAGGTAATTCTATGAATCATGAATACAGGAATGGTGCATTCACAGTGAAAATACCTGTAAATTCACTAATCTCTGCTTTATAAGTATGTCTCTTATGGATTTTGGTGGTCTTTTTGTAAGGGAAACAAGGGCTTTTCACGGACAGTACTCTGATTTACTTGTTTATTCAGCACACGTGACAAGTCCAGTGAATGAACAATCACAGTACTGTCAAACAGGAAAGCAGAAAGCAGTTTTCATGGCTGCAAAGAATAAGCTACAGATAACCAAAGGAAGATGGGCATACTGCCCACAGTACTGCTCCACAGGAAAACAACCAACTGCACAGGCTCAGAACCTGCTGGTGAAAGGATAATTTAAAGTTTCTGCAGGAAATAATAATATAAAAACCAACCCAGAATTCAATACTCAAGTCTTATATAATCAGTATCCATCAAAGTTCACAGGCCAGATGACCCACCAAACATTTTGAAATAAGTAGCTGGAACTGCTCTTGTATGGATGCACTTAAAATTGCCTCCTCCTTCTTGCCCTGAAACTCTCAACGCAGGTACTGGTTATACTTATATTCTGCCTAGGGCCCTAAGCACAGAACCTCCCCTAGACTGTTTCTGCTCACTGAAATGAGTAAGACGAGGCTGAGTATGATCAGCGGTATATAAAATACAAGACAGCTCAGGAGCGGAACGCTAGCGTGCAAGCATATCCCAATCGCTATCTCAGTTTGGTGATTTTTTTGGTAAAAACTAAGCAAGTAGGAAGTCATGATAGTCAATTCTGAAGAATGCTAGTAATAAACACAATAGTCAGGAATGGCTGTTTCATAACCTGAAGCATCCTCATGCAGGACAGCAATGCTTTAAGGAGAAGTTTAACAATAAAAGGATTTACCTTAAAATAACTGAAATCAAATATGATATCCCCATATTTCTGTTGATCAGCCTTGTCCTTTAGCCTGAAAACACTGGGAATAAATTCGGAAAGTCTCAGAAGTTCTGCAATGATGGCATTTCCACAGGAGACAATCCGAAGAATTGCCTGACCACAGAGATTGTTTTCAGCTAGAAAATCAACCATTGTGGAGCTGGACGTGACAGAACAGCAGAAGTCCTGCAGTCAGATTCTGATCCTTAGTCTTTAGGTTATTTGAAGAAGAAAGTCTGATGAGAAAACTAGCTGCTCCATTAATAACCTGTAAAAACAAAACCACACACATTCAGAGTGGTTCATATTCATATTTTTGATAGTTTAATCTACGTGGATTTTTAAGTATACTCTCAAATCTTTAATTTATGAAATCTAAATTATCCACAGCTTTGTAAAATGAAAAAAAATGCACTGAATTCATCTTCAGCACATACACTGTGTTTGACTCAACGATCACACTGAAGCAATTGAGACCACACAAGGAGATAGCAGCAAAGAAAGCAAAAACATGTTACAAGATGTGTTTATAATAGGCACTTTAAAAATACAACCAAAGTGACTGTAATAGGCTTTAGCATCAAGGAAAACTTCTATAGCAAATGGAAACGCTACAGCTCCGTTCCTTTATTTATTGCTGAAGGGCTAGCTTCCGTGCTGGGGCTGCATTTCCTGGTCACAGTTTTATTTATTGACATGTTTCCTGCAAGATACAGAGCACAGCACTGCTAAAAATAAGCTTTTATGTTTAGAAACACTTATGGGAAGTTATGAATTGGCTTTGCTTTTCACCAATAACCTTCCAAACCACCGAGATAAATTCAAGATGACAGTGCCTCTTCCGCCCAAAATGAGAACCAGGAGTCCGACCTTCCCGCTAGGCGAGACGCAGGGCATTACTACTGCTGCAGCAGGCAGCTCCGCAGGGCCTAGAGCGGGCCCTGGGCCCCGCAGCAGCCGGACCGGGCTTTAAACCACATCCCACCCCCCCGGCCAACGCCAGTCACCCGGCCGTTTGAACGGTGCCGCCTCCCTCACGGTTTGAACCCC